TGGATCATAAGTCATTGTGCAGTGATAGTCACTGAACGGTACAGTAGCTTCTGGAATTTGAGCTTCAATAAATTTTTCCCACTGTTGAAACATCTCTGAGACTGGCTTGTTAATGTCACCAAGCCAGTAGACCTTAGCGTATTCTGTCTGAGCAGTCATTTGAAAGTTTATTCCAGAGCTATCTACATAAATTCCTTCTGGTGTGCACCAGATTTTTGTTTTTAGTTTACACAATGCATCTCTTCCTAGTAGATTAACTGGAGTTTGGTCTGAAATCAGAATTGGAATTACGATTTCACTGTCATCAACTGCTAGTCTTACTGGAGCTGTTAAGGGGTTTATTTGTTTTGTTCCCGAGAACCCTGTTGTCTTTACGCTTTTCTCAGACATGGGGAGATGAGTTGCATAATTTGATTTTATGCATGAGTAGGTTGCCCCAGTATCTACTAACATTGGGACCGATTTGCCTTCTATTTTAACATTGATCACTGGTTCTTTATTGGCGTTAGCTATTAAAATTGGTAGTTGCTCCTCCCCCCCAGGGCCCTCCGGGCATCCCTAGAATCCTTGTTGTGCTGCCCATGGATTAACTGGACCTCCTCTTCCCCGGTTTGGTCGTGTTCCACGACCACGCCCAGACCATTCAGGGTTTGGAATTGGATTCGGACAGTCTCGATACAGGTGACCCATCTGGCCACACCCCCAACATGAACCTGGAAGTGGGGGTCGGTTCTGCTGCACCCAGCCTTGTCGGGTTGGGTAGCGATTGGGGAAACGATTTGGAAATCGTCTCTGTGGTCCGGGCTGCTGTCTACCATACTGGTTTGGGTAGACATTGATAACCGGTTGAGATGGAGTTTGAGGCGGGGCCACAGCTGTCTGCAATGCTTGAGTTTGACTGTCACTCTTGCTGTCACTTTTCTCCACTGCCGCCTGGGTCTTCGCCTTGTGCTGGAGATCATTTATGTGCAACTGCGTGAGTTTTCTCTGAGCGCACTTTTCTTGCTCAATCATTTTGTTACTGTCTTTCCGATAGCGGTCCACTGCGTGGACTACATGGTCTCTGAACTGCACATGTGGCATTGAGTCCAGTCCCACAACATCCTCCAGTTTGTCTCGCACAGGAGTCGGGAGAGCAGAAATCAGGGATGTTCGGAACAGAGAAGTCATTATCGGCGTCCCCTCAGGACCCTCCTCCGTCTCCAGCTTCCACCGTCTGAGCTGCCTGTCAACAAATGACGCAGGACTCTCAGTCTCTGAAAGTGGCTCACCTTTCAAAGCTTTGGGGTCAATCCTGTTGGGATATGCTGCTCTTAGTATGTTCCAGAGTGCATTTCTGTATGTGTTAAACTCCGTGCCGTCAGCCATTGGGTCCAGCATCCATTGGACTCCATTGGATGCTAGCAATGTTCCCATAGCTGATGTCCCAACAACTCGAGCCAAAATAGCTTTGAGATCTCCAAGGGCAAGCATTAGCCCAGTTGTCTCCTGTTCGAAGGCCCGAATCCACTTTCCAGCGCCATCTTGAATGTGGGGCAGCCGTGAAACCAAACCAGTGAGGTCGAGGCTCTGCCAGGGAATATAATTAGCTCTTGTGCCCTTAATTAAAATTGGGTACTGACCATCATTAGTGTATCGAATAGGTGGTTTTAAGTCATGTCTGGGTCTCAGATCACGGCTTTCATTGCTAGGACCTGGTTTTTCCTTCTCTTGAGTCAGACCTGTATTTGGATCACCACGCTCTGGTGAATGAATGCCTGGTTTGTAAAAAGGCTTGAAATTTTTCTCCTTGCTTGTGCTAGTGGTGTTCTCACTAACCTCATCTGAATGTGTGCCTGTGATGTGATTTAAGGATTTCCGCAGGCCTTCAGATATGTCCTGTATAATTTGGTCAACATCGTTTAGCTCATCATGTACATCCTCATCCTTGTTCTCAAGGTCAATCCAGTATGAGTTAGCCTTCGGTTGCCTTTTCAAAAAATCCTTATGTTCTGCAAAACAATCAATCTCCCTTCGTCCTTCTTCCCTTACCGCTCGACGTTCTGTACTGCAATATTTTGGATGCGTTCCACGAGGTGGAGTTGTTTGTTCGAATTCTCTTTCCTCACTTCCTTTTGCATGCTTTTCTTTGCCAGGTGCTTCATCTGATTGCTGTGATGTTGTTAATTTTAAAATTGCATTGTCAACATCTAAACCCTTAGGACCTTTGTCGAATGTGTCGCGCAAATCAAAATCTCCCGTAATTGTAACGGTTCCCAAAAGGGGATACAGGCCCTCTTCTGCTGGGGCCTTCACTTCCTTCTGGGGTTTGTCCAATTTGTCTTTCATTTTAAGAATGGCATGTTTAAAGTTCTGTCTGTAAATCTTTCCTTCATTCCTGAATAAGTCCAGGATCTGAATTTCTTTTTCTCTTTTCTGCTGTCTTTTCTTGGATCCATCTGCTTTATGATCCTGAATTCTCAATTCCAAATTATCACACGCCACTACGTCAAAAGTGCCTTCAGATGGCCACGGATTGCATAGTTTTCTCGTCCGTTTTGACCACTTCTCTGACATGTGCTTTATTTCTTTTGCTAAAGCAGGATTCTTCGCTGCCAAAATTCCTGCTGGCGTGACAGACATTTTGAAGTTTCAGTGACACTATTATTCCTTTGATTAGTTGACTAGTTTGTTTATTTATAATCTCCTGAAAATAACACAAGAATTGAAAGTTGAAACAGATACTGGTGACATATGATGCTGTGGTCTTGAGTAATCTGTTATTGCTCTGTTTACACAAATGTTGAACAATTTATCTTCTTATTGTAAATGCCTTAAAATCAAATCTCTTCTGATGTAACACTAAAGTAAAGTTAGTTCAAAAGCTTTAGTTATTGTTGAAAGAAAAACTTAATGCCTGAAAGTTTTTATAGGTGAACCTTTTAAATCTGGATTCAATATGTATTATTTTCCCTTTTTTCTTTTTTTTTTTTTTTCCTCAGCAGCTGTGCAGTGGCAGGCTAAAAATAGCCTTATGCTGAATCTCAAGCTTGTGTGTGAGCAAAACTCAGCCCACAGGGTGGGGTTTCTCTACGCCCTCTGGCTCACCAACCTATCCACACACAGAGGTGGAGTCAGAGGCGGGATCGCCTCTGTACTTCTGTGTCTGTGCGTGTGTATGGAGAGGACAGCTTGTAGGTGGAGCTTTGCGCTTCTGGACTGGCCCCTCTGCTCAGTCTAAACTTGGGTCTGACAGCTCAGGGTGTCCACGGAGAAACGAACACGCTGACGACCCCCAAGAGCATTCAGCCTTCAGATTTTAGCAACTCTCATACAGCTTTATAGCATCACAACACAGGAAAAAGTCAACCACAAGAGAGACCGAATCAGCAGAAGAAGAATCAGCTTCTCTCCAGTTCATCCAAGCAACAGCCCAAACAAGATCAGAGTATTTGACCTTTCACGAGTAAAACAACCACACACAGCAAAGCTTTCACACTTGCATAGAGATAAGAAAAACACACTTCAAAGCAATTTGACACCGAAGCATCATTTTATGCCACACACTCAACACGCATAAACATTATTATTTATTTATTAATCATAATCTATATTTCTCATATTTCACATTACCCAGCTGGTAAAAATAGTTATCATGCTTGTGCACTTCAGCATATATTTTTATTTATATATATGTCACTCTAAAACTAATTATTTTAACTTCTGGTTTTCTGTTTAAAGACTAATCAGAACAAGATCACAGACTTTGAAATTTGTATAACATTAAACATCAAAATTTGGCACTGCAGTGAACAATATTGATCTGTATTACTCCTTTGTTTTTCTTTTTTCCTCTAATTCTCTGGCGCCTGACACACCTTCTCAACTCACGCACCCACTTCTCAACTCGCACACACTCTTATCTCCTCCACACACACACACGCTTATCTCACACGCCTGTCCCACCCACAAAACTTCTCTCACAAACACACTCACACAAACAAACAATTTCTGAGCTCTAGAGTTGTTTACAGCCACTTTGCTGCAAACTCTGACGTCAAACATATCTTTGCCAAAAACTCATGAAATTTACCAATCCCCGAGGATTCAACCGAATTACTGGCAAGCTTATCTGTCACAACTTCAGCGCTTTTTCTCAGATCCCAGTCGTTGCCCGGCTTCACCGAGGCACCCTACTGGATCTCAATTGTCGACCTCGTTCACTTGTCCTCACTGGACTTTAATCAGCTGTCAAATTCTATTCCAATTCTCGCTGTCCCAGCTTTTAATTTGTCACAAACTTTGTCCGTCATCAAAATGACTCAGCTGACTTCACACATGTGTGAATAATTTCACCGCTGCTCTGGACAAATGCCTCTTCTTGTTATTATAACTTCTAATTTATGAGAAGGGCATGTTTTTTCTCTCAGACCAGTTCTCAGTCCACGGAATAACTCCAAAATTGAACAAAAACTGTTCTTACCTAGGGCCCAGAAGTTTATTCCGTGGGCTGCGAAACGATCCGAAGAGCACACCTCTACTTCCCGCTTCGTGGTCGCCAAATGTGGTTCTTTTTCCTTATCAAAAACAAGAAAGAGACAGGTTTTGTCCAAACTCAGCGGGGGGCATTTATTTACACAACTCATCCATACATCACCAACACTTCACAGGGGACAGCGTCCAGCTTCGATCTAAACACCTCGGCTGGAGATCCTTCTGCAAAAGCCCACTCTCCTACACCACGCAGCATCAGTTATACTATTCAACCCCCACCTCCCTTTTGATTCTGAGAAATGATGGGGTGCTACTTCCACATCCTAATATGGTCAAAAGTAGTTGAAACTTACATAAGCTGGACAGATCAACATGTTTTTGGAGCATGTACTCAGCAGCTGGGCTGCCTGATAAACGGCTGGTCTTGATAAGCAACATGTCAACATGCACATACGCAAAACACTGCTTTTAGCTCCTACAAACGCACCTTATAGTGCTCCTGCAGGCACCAGTACCCAGTACCCCGATGTAATCTCATTTTTGTAGTACCCCATAAAGCCACAGGAGGGTCACACACACACACTACAAAATCACCTATGTTACAGGAAGTTGTAACTTCCTGATGAGTGTTTAACTGTACGGATCACACTTCTATTTGCTCTTATTTTGCTGTAACTCATTGAAGGTAAGTAAGACTGTTTTCCTAAAATATTAAGCTTTTATTTGTATTATTACACTTGTGATAAAACTGAAAAGCGTGTCTATGGACAAAAAACTAAATACATAACAGTAGATGAAGAAGTAGATGATCCATTAAAATTGGAAGAGATTTGTTTTTTACTTAAAGTAAAAAAACAAGACTGTTGAGTTTAAGAATATTTTTATAAATACAATAATGTACTTTGATGACGACAAAATCATGCCATGTTCATTGAGATTTTTGATTGTAGTTTTATTTTCATTGAGCCATGTTCACAAAATAAAGAGACGAATGAGTTCTTTTAGAGAAGCGTCTTAAGCTGAATCAAATTAAATAACTATTTGTATCGCTTAAAATAAAAAAAAGCTGCATCTGCTGCTTTTGTGTCAAAAATCAAAGAGATGCTGCAGAAATTCTCTTTTGTCGCTCAAATGTGTTGAAATCATTTTTCACCACACTGAACGCAAGCCATGTCATTCAGAGTCATGTTCATATTATTTAAAACTGATGTTCCTGTGGGTAAAACCTTTAACTTGAGCCCAGAGTGACATGACATGGTTAAATCAACAAAAATAAAAATTGACGAATCATCTGTGGGGAAGTTAACATTTAAACTGAACTTCCTCTTGTCACGACGCGCTGGTGAGTGGAGCGGAGGTGAGGATCCAAATGCTGGGGAGGGATCAGGCAGGCAGACAAACTAGAAAACGTAAAAGGTTTCTAATGATCACTGGACACAGGACATGGAAACAATGAGGCAACAAGAGACAGAATTGGAGGGGTCTAAATACAGGAGGGCTGGGAGCTTGGGTGATTGGGAAACGAGAGGCAGGTGCGAGCAATCAACAGAGACACAGGCTGAACCAAATGGGGAGACAGGACAGGGTGTGACAGTACCCCCCCCCCCCCCACCCACCCCCCTCCCTCAAAGGGCGGCTACCAGATGCTCACAGGAACACAGAGCAGGGCGGGAGGAGGGGGACCCGGAGGGAGGGCCAAGAGGGGCAGATGGAAAGGAGGCAGGGACACCCGGAGGGAGGGCCAAGAGGGGCAGATGGAGAGGAGGCAGGGACCAGCATAGTCCGGGGGCCTGCGTCTAGGGCAGAGGAGGCGACAACGACAGGCTCTTGGGGGCCTGCATCTGTGGCAGAGGAGGCGGCGACGACGGGCTCTTGGGGGCCTGCGTCTGTGGCAGAGGAGGAGGCAACGGGCTCTTGGGGGCCTGCGTCTGTGGCAGAGGAGGAGGCAACGGGCTCTTGGGGGCCTGCATCTGTGGCAGAGGAGGAGGTGACGACGGGCTATTGGGGGCCAGCATCTGCGGCAGAGGAGGAGGCGAGGATAGGACACAGGAGACTGAAACACATGGGGCACTGGAGACTCTTGAAAGGACGGAGACCCTTGAGACTGGAACTCTTTAGAGGAGGGGAAGACGTCATCTTCTTGGACTGGAGAAGTCGACCCTTTGGATGGATCTATGGGCATCGTCTCTGTAGGCTGTACCGGGGACAAAGTCTCTGCAGGCTGGACCGGGGACAAAGTCTCTGTAGGCTGGACCGGGGACAAAGTCTCTGCAGGCTGGACTGGGGACAAAGTCTCTGCAGGCTGGACCGGGGACAAAGTCTCTGCAGGCTGGACCTGGGACAAAGTCTCTGCAGGGTGGACCAGGGACAAAGTCTCTAGGACAGGAGACAAAGTCTCGTGGACAGGCTGGACCGGGGAAAAAGTCTCTTGGACAGGGGACAACGTCTCTTGGACAGGCTGGACCAGAGACAAAGTCTCTTGGACAGGCTGACTGGGGACAAAGTCTCTTGGACAGGCTGGACCGAGGACAAAGCCTCTTGGACAGGCTGGACTGGAGACAAAGCCTCTTGGACGGGCTGGACCAGAGACAAAGCCTCTTGGAAAGGCTGGACCGGAGACAAAGCCTCTTGGACGGGCTGGACCGGAGACAAAGCCTCCTGGACGGGCTGGACCGGAGCCTCGTGGAAGGGCTGGAACGGATACGGTGTGACCTCCGGAACCACCTCTGGAACTGGAACTCGACACGGTGCGACCTCGGGGACCACCGCTGGAACTGGACACGGTGCGACCTCCGGGACCTCCGCTGGAACTGGACACGGTGCGGCCTCCGGGACCACCGCTGGAACTGGACACGGTGCGACCTTCGGGACCACCGCCGGAACTGGACATGGTGCGACCTCCGGGATCACTGCTGGAACTGGACATGGTGCAACCTCCGGGACCACCGCTGAACCTGGAGACGGCGTCGACCACGGGACTGGAGACGGCGGAGATGTTGGACTAGAGGGGACGTCGACCTCTGGACACAGGAGAGCGTCGACCTCTGGACACGAGGGAGCGTCGACCTCTGGACTGGAAAGAGCGTCGAACTCTGGACTGGAAAGAGCGTCGACCTCTGGACTGGAAAGAGCGTCGACCTCTGGACTGGAGGGAACATGGACCTCTGGACTGGAGGGAGCGTCGACCTCTGGACTGGAGGGAGCGTCGACCTCTGGACTGGAGAGAGCGTCAACCTCTGGACTGGAGAGGGCATCGACCACAGGACTGGAAGGGGTATCGACCACAGGACTGGAAGGGGTGTCGACCTCAGGAATGGGGGTGTCGACTTCTGGCCTGGGGGCGTCGACTTCTGGCCTGGGGGCATCGACTTCTGGCCTGGGGGCGTCTACATCTGGCCTGGGGGAGTCGACTTCCATCGACTTCTGGTCCGTCGGCTCCTGGACCGCCGGCTTCTGGACCGCCGGTTTCTGGACCACCAGCTTCTGGACCGCCAGCTTCTGGAGTGGAGGAAGAGTTGCTGCAGACGGGACCGCTTGGACAGGCTGGACCGGACGCGGTGCGACCTCCGGGACCACCGCCGGAACTGGATGCGGTGCGACCTCCGGGACCACCGCCAAAACTGGCGCTGATTGGACTGGTGGCGCGGGACCTGGTGGAGCCGGTAACTGAAAAAGCAGGGAGGATAGATTGTCCAACTGGAACTCCTGGTGACTGAGGATCTGACGGAGTCGGTCCAGCTCAGCTCGGAGACCGGCGAGCTCTGTTGGATGGACTGCGAGCTCGGTCCTTTGGCCTGGAGACGAGAGAACTGCCGACTGGACCGGAGGCGGGGCCACTGGCTGGACAGAAACCCTCCCCTGGAGATACGGGGAGGACAGGGTGTCCAGCTGGAACTCCCGGAGGCTGACAAGCTGACGCATCCGGCCAAGCTCCGCCCGGAGACCGGCGAGCTCTGTCAGCTGGGCTGTAGGCATGGTTCCTCCACCTGCAGATGACGGAGGCGCTGATTGGACCGGAGACGGGACAGCTGATCCAATTGGGGGCGGGTCCAAGCCATTGCACCGAGCCGGGGCAGCTGCGAGCTCGCGGCTCCGTCCGGGGACAAGGGGTGACGGTGGAGCCCGGCATCCTGCCAAACGCCGTGGGCCAACTCCGGGGGAGCACACAGCCAGTCTGGTGCCCACATAGCAGGAGCGGTCCGTCTGCGCCTCCCCGTCCAACTCTCCTTCCGGCTCTGGGAGGGTGGAGAGAGGATCGCCGAAGCCCGAGCTCGGCGGCGGCGTCCGCAGCGAGGCGATGCCGGAGGAAGAGGAGCCGGCCGGTGGTCCGCAGTTAAAAACTGGGGCAAGCGCTCCCAAGGGAGAACCTCCCCACTGGATCCTTTACTGGGTTGCCTCATTCTGTCACGACGCGCTGGTGAGTGGAGCGGAGGTTAGGATCCAAACACTGGGGAGGGATCAGGCAGGCAGACAAACTAGAAAACGTAAAAGGTTTTTAATGATCACTGGACACAGGACATGGAAACAATGAGGCAACAAGAGACACAGAACTGGAGGGGTTTAAATACAGGAGGGTTGGGAGCTTGGGTGATTGGGAAATGAGAGGCAGGTGGGAGCAATCAACAGAGACACAGGCTGAACCAAATGGGGAGACAGGACAGGGTGTGATACCTCTTCCATCGGTACACTGAGAGCGAAGATATGTTTGCATGAGCTGTTCATGTCACACAGGTTAGGACGTCGCAGTTTACACATTTGGTTATTACACAATGAGTTTCATGTCACAGAACTTCCTGATAACGATGCTGTTAAACAGTCCTGATTAGGTTACCTCCCACTCTCTTCCAGGAACTGCTTTGGTGCAGCAGAGTAGCAAAGACCACTTCCTGATGTTCATACAATGCCATGTCCTGCTCTTCTATGTTCTCTCCTTCTGCTGCATCAAATACAAGGTACAGTGATTATGTGACTGTGATGAAATCGTTTTCAGGACAACAACAACAAAAAAAATCAAGTGTGTGTGAGAAAGAAGTAGGTGAATCACCATAAGTCAGGGAACGTGGCACTAGAAGAAAATAAAACTGACTTGATTTAGACCATCGACTCACAGCCGTTATATTTTTAATACTTATTTTATTCATGGTGAACCATCCACTTCTTCATCTCTCACACTTTATTTATTTTTGTCCTCAAAATCCTTTTTATTGAAGACTACATTTTTACCTTCAGTGTCGTCTTCCGTGAACCTTTTTCGGTTCCTCTTTTCTGCAGCCCTGTGTATAACCACAGATGTGTTATAAGAAACTCACACGCCTCTAAACATGGTAGGACTGAAACTGTCAAATGGAAAGTTATATATGTTCCTATTTAAAAGAAAAGTGTGTTCTATCATTTGTTTGTAACGATCCCAGGCACGTTTTGTCTCTGAAATAAACTTTATAAACAATGTAAACAAGAGTTTATATGGATGAAAAACATCCTGAGCAACAATAAACTAGAACAGAGCTTAATAAAACAAAAACAAATCTAAATTCATCATTATGAAGATTTATCCGTCATTATAGACTTCTTAATTTCAGCAGGTCAGTTAATATTTCTGTGCCCCTAATTCACATTTAACTAATTTCACCTGTTAAGTGACAGTGACAGAGATACATCATAAGGAGTAAAAAGTATTATATGTGAACTCATGTTAAGTACCAAAGCAACGAAATTATAGATTCAATCTTAATTTAGCTAAAACCTACATGCAAACAAAGACTAAAAACCAGGAACATCAGTTAAAAATATCCAATCAGAGGCATAAGGGGTGCTGTGAGTTTGTAGTGCACTTTTAATGCACTGCAGCAACCTTACTGTAGTGCACCTTACCTTAAGTGGAGGTATTTGTGTAAAACAACAACATTTAAGAATGGTGAAAGGTTTGAAGCCATTTGTTACTAATCAGTAAATGCATTTTGTCCTCACGGGCTCCCGTCAAGGAAACATGGCCTCTAATATGGCATCGCCCAGAGACTTATGGGCTCGACACACGGGAGGCGACAAACGACCGCGATCAGCGAAATTTGTCGCTGTCGCTTTTATGACCTGTCACACGGGAGGCGATCTGCGGTAGCGGCCAGCGGCAAAGCCGTCTACGCGTTCTGTTCCATGGCGAAATCTAAACTTCTGTTGTTTTGTTTGGCTGTGTCAGGTTGGAGGGAATTAAGGTTATTTAAGCGGTTCAGAGTTAATAAAGTGGTAGATATGATGTTTCACAAGGTGCTGCTAGAGTTATGTGAAATCTTACTTCTGATTTTACTATATAAAACATAATAATAATCAACTTCTCCTTCATGTTTGCTCGGTGATGTGCGGAGCATCCTGTCCGCTCATTGGTCAGTGAATGAAACCTCCGTTGATTGGTCCTCGCCCGAGCGACAGCGATGAAAAGTTGAAAATGTTTCAACTTTCTGGGATCGCGTCGCTGGGTCGTCCGTGCACGACACGTGCACGAGTGCAAACTTTCACACGCACGTTTTTCGCGTTTCGCTTGGTAGGAGGGAGACCCGCGATTATCGCTTTGTCGCGCATGTCTCATTGAAAATGAATGGAGGAGAGGCGATGTCGCCTCCCGTGTGTCGAGCCCATTAGACTCGCTCCCATGTATTTTAGACATAATTTTTTTGTTATATGTTTCAAAGCCGCTAATATTTTTCAACAACTGGGAATCATTTCATTCATTTTCAACATTTTTAATAGTAAAAACTACATATTGTCTCTTTAAGTGTTTTTGTTTAAAGCAGAAATCTTGACTGTTCCAACAATGAAGCTGAATCGATAATATTGTAGTGGTTTGTCAGAGCTGGAGGCGTCTTTGGAATCCTAGGATGTCCAAGGAATGCCCTGCCTTTCTCGCCTCTGAATTGGCTAGAAGGGCTCTCCTACGATTGTGTAATGGTTTAATTTACATGTTATTTAATGAGCCATAAGACATAAGATTCCATAGTAAATATGAAATCAACCTTATGGATCTGTGGGTACTGTTTAACCAGAAGATTGGAACTTTTTATTGCAGGGATTACGTAACACTTCGTATTAACTCAGAGACAACAGAAGACAGAGTCAAGTTTTAAAAGTTTAAAGATTTATTACTAAACAAATTAAAACTAGACTAACTTTAACTCTAAATGTATGGTGTTACTATGGTGAATGAGATGGAGAATGGTGTAGTGTGGAATGTTGCTCAGAACCAGCAAATCCGAAGAAACGATGAGTTCTGGTGGGAAATGAAGGTGATGTTTTCGCGCTAAGCTTTGGTTAGAAGATTCATAAACACATTCGATGCCATTCTGTCGGTCTACGTACCCTTAGCGGAAGTCCCCGGCTAGATCAGGAGGTGTAGAGGTCCAGCTTGACCTTTGTGGAGCCGAAGCCTGTAGAAACAGCCGTGGCAGCCGACCACCAGTCTTGAGATACTTCCGGGTCACGACAGTTTATCAGCATCTAACAAGACCCAAAACGGGGTCGTAATGGTTCAACTTTTATTCTGAAAGGAACTGTTGCAGCAGGTGGAACAGCAACAGGTTTATCCAGCTTGTCGTTGGTTCTTTCGGCTGAACAGGCAAGTTTACGGATTGGCCACTCCGCCAACTTCTCTCGAACGCTTAGAACTGGCGTTAAAGATGACGTGGGCATAGTTTTATACTTCGGATGTTTTGGTTTAAGGTCGAATGAAAAGATGACAGATTTACCAAGCACCACCAAAACCATGCCTCCGTCAGATCTGGCAGATTCTGATTGGATCAGTAAAAGCAATGTGTCATGTCTTAACGCTAAGTGAGATCAGTCCTAGTGGAAACATTTAAAGTCATATTACTTATTATATTCCATAGGATTATAATAACGTAATTAATATTTCAATTTCACAGATTGGTCAACATCTTATTATTGACTAACACTTTGTTTGATTAGCTTTACTAAAAATAAAGTTCTTTGATTTATTAAAAGGAGAGAGTCCTTTTCTTCATTCTTCTCTTGAGCTGGAAAGAAGCAGTTTAGAAGCAAATGCATGAGACCTTGAGTCAATATCTCATGCAGATTAGTTCTGTGTCAGAGGAGAGGGGGGAAAAGACTTTTGGTGGAAAACAGTCATTTCATTCTGTTACAACTGGCTGTTTCATTTAAGAGGGAACTGTTTTCCTGGTTTTTATGTTTACAGCCAGATCTTGAGGAGTTTTTTGAAGAAAATGGGAACTCATCGCTATAATAAACACCCTTTCCTGTTTTGCAACAAACCTGTCTGTTTCTTTCATAAAAGAACTTGAAAAACATCAAATGTGAACTTATCTGGGTGATTGGGTCTATTGGTTACTTAATTATTAGGCTATCCTATGTCTTCACTTTAATAGGTTAAGGCTGTTTACAAGTTAGAGCACGTCTCTCATGATCAGATTAAGAATGTATAATTTAATCAAAAATGTAGTTAAAGCTGATTTTGATTTTGACCAATTTTTCATCCAGTTTTCATTAACCTAAAAAAGAAAAAGAACTGTTGCACAAAGCTGGACAGAATAGGGCAGTTTTATTACATTTCATACCCAGGTAAGGCACATATGTTTATTCTATGTACTTTAATGCTTGAGAGCCAAGAGTTATAAAGTAAGTCCAACAGTTTGATAAATGCAACAAGATCATAAATTAACATTTTACGTTATTCAGATTTTTTGTGAAACATAAAATATTTAGCAAAACAGGACAGAATTGTTATTATAACGCTAAGTTCACATTGTCTTTACAAAACTCCCCAAAACTGCTTTCTGCTGGTGGCAGAAGGACAGTCTGCATTATAGCTGGTTTGCTGCTAAATAAAATAGCCAATCGTAGTAGATCCTTTTTAACCAATCAGAAGCGAGAAAGGCGGGATCTTCCTTGGACATCCTAGGATTCCAAATGACGCGAACTGGAATGCATTAATTCAGTTTTTGTACCTGCTGTTTCCACAGGGTCCAGTGCTGGGACTCCTGTGTTTGTGCCGACTGGAGGGGATTTGAACCTTGATGTGTTGGATGCTGATTTTCCTAAAACATTTGACTTCTTTTTATGGAAATTTAAAACAGAAACTGTGATGGTAACATTTCAACCTAATGGAGAACCGAACATTCGTGAAGAATACAGAGGAAGAATTGAGGTTTCTGAGAAGAAATACTCTGTGAGATTAAAGCACCTGACAAAGGGAGACAGTGGAACCTATGTTGCACGAGTGACGGCGGGTAAAGACCTCATACTAGCTGAATATGATGTTACAGTTCAAGGTAAGAGTTTTGATTTACATGTCAGCTTAAAAGTTAGAGAAGGTCTAATTCCAACACATAATCTTTAGAACAATCCGAGGCCATCGTGTTTTTGATTTTTGACCTTTTAGTGTAATTCACATTCATGATAAATACAAAAAGCTGATATAAAGATGAACTGAAGTTGAGTGGAATTGTGACTTCGTTCAACCTTTTCTTCTATTGTTCAAAAACACGTCACATCAGCTCAGTGGCCTAGTGGTAGAGTGTCCGTCCTGAGACTGGGAGATCAGGGTTCAATTCCTGGTCGGGTCATACCAAAGACTTTGAAAAAATGGGACCCAATGGCTCCCTGCTTGACACTCAGCATTAAGGGGTTGGATTGGGGGGTTAAACCACAAAATGGTTCCCGAGTGTGGCTGTGTCTGCAGCTCACCGCTCCCCCAGGGGATGGGTCAAATGCAGAGAGCAAATTTCGCACACACATCAGTGAGTGTGACAACTAATGGGACTTTAACTTTGTCTCTCTTCTCTCCTCAGATCCAGTCTCTCCAGTTGATCTGATCAGTGACTCTGTGTTCAACAACTCCACCTGTAACGTCACAGCAGCCTGCACAACGCCAGAGTCTAGCATCAGCAGCTCTTTCAGGTGTGATGCTAAAACCTGCTATCAGGAGGGAGGAAGATCAGAGGTCAATACATCTGGGGGTTCCCTCCGCATCTATCTATCAGCTGAATCAATCATCTGTAACCATAGCAACCAGGTCAGCTGGCTGAAAAATGAGACAAATCTTCGATCTTTCTGTCCCAAAATTGCTGGTGAGTGAACAGTCCTAGTGAATTCTAGAAGTGAAATATTTAGTTAAACCGTTGGTCTTCTGACAAATCCAGTCCGTCCTTTATCAACGAACTGTGTGGATTTAAAGGTTGAATATGGAACAGTTATATAAAACGCTACATTTTTCTAAAATAATACCTCCACAGGACGTTTAGAGGAGTGCAGAATGAAGGTGCCGTATTTCCTTTAAAAGCTAGAGTTTAATTAAAAAAGATTATCAAATATTTATTTAGACGGCACAAGATTAGGTTTGTGTTTACATCTACCAGCCAACAGAGGGCACCAAACAGTCCGCTCTGCACAGTGGGGCTGGCTCTGGGGAAAATGGCGGACTCGACAAGTCGTGCAGCTGTATCTGAGCCCAGAAGATGTCGTTATCCTTCTCAGAAGAGGAGCGACCATAAAAGATCTAAAACCAGAGTGAGTTTAGGTGAAGCTACAACAGATGAGCACAAATAAAAGATGAACGTATCGGCAGCGAACCTGGTATCCTGACCGCTGGAAACCTTGTTCCTATAGTTGCAGCTACAACCTCCACGCACTAGATGTCGCTTTGGTGTTCCTGTTCCATATCCAACCTTTACATGCAATTTCTGGAGAAGGATTTATTTTCTTTCTTTCTTTTGCAGAAAGCACGACTTATATTTGGACACCTGTAATTGTTGTTGCTGTCATTCTAAGTGTAGCTGCCATGATACTCTTGGTATCTTATTGGAGGAGGAGAGGTACATCAATCTTTGTGAAGTCATACCATCATTTAGCAGTAACGGATATTTAATAACAGGATACAGATCCAATAATATGATCATTTTAAACCCTTTAGTGTGGATTTGAATTCTTATTTGGTTTTAATTAACCAAATTATTTTTCATTACAAACTTTTGTTCAGGAACTCCTAAGCTCTACTTTATCTGAATGTAGACAAATGTTAAACTTAAAGATTTTAAAAATGGTGAAGTAGTTTAAATGATTGAGACTTTGACCCGAATGAAATAAATCTATTTCTCCACCGCCAGTTCAACCAGAAAACACAGAAAATACCATATATGCCACTCCTGAGGTAAGTGATACGTTTTTGTTGGTTTGTGAACATTTAGCGCAGCGACTGAATATTTTAATATTTGGCTATTTGGAAAACAAGAATGTTAGAGATTATAAGGAATTCTTCCCAACTAATGATTGCAATCAATAACTTTTAAAAGGACCATTTTACCCATTTTGTTCATCTACAGCTTGGACTGATAACTAATAGAACATCTGTCTAAAATGGATGGAAACCCCCTTTAAATTCATACTTTCTGTTTTGTATTTCACCTGCAGCATATCTTGTTCCACAAATGTTTCCTATCATTTAATTTTAGACCCACAACATCCAAAATAGTGAGACACAAGCTGATGCTGCTGAAGTCGAGTCTCCATCCACCACCTACAGCTTGGTGGGGCCTGCTACAGAAAGGACCGATCTACCGTCAAGTCTTTATGCAACAGTACAAAAAAATCCTTGAGTGATGAAAGAAACTAAGAACTGAACCAAAAGCATGGAAGAGCTGTTACTGCAACGTCACCCTCTTTATGTAACCAGTATTGTTTTCTTATGAAAGCAGCAGTATTAGGATCGTTGCACCATTCTGACGAGTTCTACCCCGTTATATAGGATTTGTTAAAGTTTTTATACTTTTAGACCAAACATGCGTGGAGCCCGCCTCTCTCCCAGTAAAGGCTGCAGCTCTGCACCAACTGCCTGTGACCCAGCGCAGGAACAAGTGAGAAAGAAAATGGGTAACACTTTAGTTTAGGGAACACAAATTAACCATTAATTAGCTGCCAGTTAATATGCATATTAGTGGACTACTAAGTCTAAACTAGTCATTATTAAGCTTTAATTAACTGCTTATTACTAATGTAACGTGATGAAGGAGCCATTTCTCAGGGTTATTATCCTCTAACCACGGTTGCCTTTGACACAGTGCCAGAGTGCATGAAACAGCTTCAAGGTCATGCATTCGCTTCTGAACTATTTACGTTCCAGCAATGAAGACAGAAGATGAAGATTATTCTTTTCTTTCATTAGATCAAAGAACTCTATTTTCAATAAAGCTAATCAAAACAACTGTTAGTCAAAAATACAACGTGACTGATCTGTGAAATCTCAACATTATGATTAATATGTTTTTAATAAGTAAATGACTTATTTTAGTCACTAGACATGCTGATACATTAAGGTAAATAATCACATGACACATTGCTGTGCTGATCCAATCAGAACCTTCCCCGTCTGAAGCGTGGCGGAGTTTCTGTGGTGTTTATTAATTCTGTCAGCTTTGATTCGTCCAGAATCAAAAACATCCAGATTAATAAAACAGTTCCAACGCCATTTTAATTCAGTATTCAACAAGATCTCAACATCCCTTGAAGTTCGCCGCATGTTAAGTGAAGTATGGACAGGCCATCTGTACTCCTCTTTTTAAGCTAAGAACTATCAAGCTGGGAAAAACCCGTTGTTGTTATCAATCAACAACGGTTCCTTCAGAATAAAAGCTGAAATCACTGACCCAAGGAGGGTCCCCTTTTTGACGCTGTGAAACACCTGTCGCTGTTTACCTGGAGACAATCCAAGGACTAGTCTGTCGTGCTGTGACGCTGTACCATCGGCTCCAGTACCGGAAGGAAGGTCCGAGGACCTGGGCATTCTGGATCCACCGTGGAGGTCTCACTGAAGGGTATGTGGATGCGACAAACTGGCGTCTCATGTGTTTATGACCACGGTTCAAACTTGATCAGTTAGGAGCAAAACATCATCTCCCACTCAGACTCGCTTCTCCGGACACAGAAGTTCTGAACTTGACATCGTTCACACACACACCATTCACCTCACATTTCATTCCAACAGAACATTCATCTTTAGAGAGTTTGTCTTGTTAAATTGTTTAAAATTATTTCGTAACTAAATTTCCTTAACCGTTTGAAAGTCTCTCTCTCTTCTCTTGTCTCTCAGTTCATGCAAAGTGTTTATTTAATTTCCCTGTAATAAAAAGATCCAATCTTCTGATTTAAATAACCCAGTGTCTGTAAGATGGGATTCATACTAGATATGAATCTTTAATGTCTATGGTCATTAAATTGTAATTCTAATCCATTACACTAATGCCATAATTCTAACATTAACAGGCCATAAATTAAGAGTTTTAACATAATATGCCATTCATAATGGTTTGTTAACTGAAAGTAAATGTTTATTTGCTGATTAACACACTTACTAATTAGCTCTGACTTAATGGGGAACATATTCTTGCCTTTAAGTGATTAATTGATTGTTGTTTAGGCTCTATTATCATGTGGAGTTTGGTGTTTATGTACATAATACCAGAACATAATATTTTTGTTTGTTAATTCAGAATAATTATTCCCCTTGAATTACTTCTTTAACAGCCAAATATTGATTTGAGCTAATTAGTATGTGCGTTAATCAGCAACAAACCATTTACTTTCAGTTAACAAACTATTATGAATGGCTTATTATGATAAAACTCTTAATTTCCATCCATCCATCCATCCATCCATCCATCCATCCATCAATCCATCCATCCATCCATCCATCCATCCATCCATCCATCCATCCATCCATCCATCCATCCATTTTCATCCGCTTATCTGGAGTCGGGTCGCGGGGGCAGTAGCCTAAGGCGAGAGGCCCAGACTTCCCTCTCCCCAGCCACTTGGGCCAGCTCCTCCGGGGGAATCCCAAGGTGTTCCCTGGTCAGGTGAGAGACATAGTCCCTCTACCACGTCCTGGGTCTACCTTTAGGTCTCCTGGTTGGACGTGCCTGGAAAACCTCACCAGGGAGGCGTCCAGGAGGCATCCTGACCAGATGCCCGAGCCACCTCAACTGGCTTCTCTCGATGCGGAGGAGCAGCGGGACTACTCTGAGCCCCTCCCGGATGACCGAGCTTCTCACCCTATCTCTAAGGGAGAGCCCAGCCACTCTTCGGAGAAAACTCATTTCGGCCGCTTGTATCCGCGATTTCGTTCTTTCGGTCACTACCCAAAGCTCATGACCATAGGTGAGGGTAGGAACGTAGATCGACCGGTAAATCGAGAACTTCGCCTTCTGAATCAGCACTCTCTTCACCACGACACAATGCCCGCATCTCACGCTCCAGTTTTCCCTCACTCGTGAACAAGACCCCGAGACACTTAAACTCCTCCACTTGGGGCAGGACCTCATCCCTGACCCGGAGTAGGCATTCTACCCTTTTCCGAATCAAGACCATGGTCTCAGATTTAGAGGAGCTGATTCTCATCCCAGCTGGTTCACACTTGGCTGCGAACTGCTCCAGCGAAAGCTGAAGATACGTTCTGATGAAGCCAACAGGACCACATCGTCTGCAAAAAGCAGAGACTTGATCCTCAGGCCACCAAAACAGATGCCCTCCACACCTTGGCTGCGCCTAGAACTCCTGTCCATAAAGGTTATGAACAGAATTGGTGACAAAGGGCAGCCTTGGCGGAGCCCAACTCTCACTGGGAATAAGCCCGATTTACTGCGGCAATGCGGACCAAGCTCTGACACCGGTCATACAGGGACCTAACAGCCCGTATCAGAGGGCCTGGTACCCCATACTCCCGGAGTACCCCCCACAGGGCCCCCCAAGGGACCTGGTCAAACGCCTTCTCCAAATCCACAAAACGCATATAGACTGGTTGGGCAAATTCCCACGCACCCTCCAGGATCCCCCTAAGGGTAAAGAGCTGGTCCAGTGTTCCACGGCCAGGACGAAAACCACATTGCTCCTCCTGAATCTCTGTTCAACAATCCGACGAACCCTCCTCTCCAGAACCCCTGAATAGACCTTACCAGGAAGGCTCAGGAGTGTGATCCCCCTGTAGTTGGAACACACCCTGCGGCCCCCCTTTTGAAATAAGGGAACCACCACCCCGGTCTGCCAGTCCAGTGGGACTGCCCCCAATGTCTACGCGATATTGTAGAGCCTTGTCATCCAACACAGCCCCACAACAGCCAGAGCCTTAATGAACTCCGGGCGGATTCCATCCACCCCTGGAGCCTTGCCACAGAGGAGCTTTTTAACCACCTCAGTGACCTCAGCACCAGAGATTTGAGAGGCCAACTCAAAGTCCCCAGACTCTGCTTCCTCACTGGAAGACGTGTCGGTGAGATTGAGGAGGTCTTCGAAGTATTCTGCCCACTGATCCACAATGTCCTGAGTAGAGGTCAGCAGCACACCGTCCCCACTATAGATAGTGTTGGTAGCACACTGCTTTCCCTCCCTGAGACACCGGATGGTGGACCAGAATCTCCTCGAAGCCGTACGGAAGTCTTGCTCCATGGTCTCACCGAACTCCTCCCATGCCCGGGGTTTTGCCTCGGCGACCACCCGAGCCACCTTCCGCTTGGACTGCTGGTACCCGTCAGCTGCCTCTGGAGTCCCACAGGCCAAAAAGACCTGATAGGACTCTTTCTTCAGCTTGACAGCATCCCTAACCTCCGATGTCCACCAGCGGGTTCGGGGGTTGCCACCACAACAGGCACCAACGATCCTGTGACCACAGCTCCGGTCGGCCGCCTCAACAATGGAGGCACGGAACAGGGTCTTTTCAGACTCAATGTTCCCCACCTCCCCCGGAACCTTTTGGAAGTTCTGTCGGAGGTGGGAATTGAAGCTCCTTCTGACAGGAGACTCTGCCAGACGTTCCCAGCAGACACTCGTGATATGTTTGGGCCTGCCTGGTCTGACCGGCATCCTCCCCCACCATCTGAGCCAACTCATCGCCAGGTAGTGGTCAGTTGACAGCCCCGCCCCTCTCTTCACTCGAGTGTCCAAGACATGTGGCCACAGGTCAGATGAAACAACAACAAAGTCGATCATCGAGCTGCGGCATAAAGTGTCCTGGTGCCAAGAGCACATATGGACACATTTAAACTCTTAATTTATGGCCTGTTAATGTTAGAATTACAGCATTGGTAATAAACACCTAATAATGGCTTAATAATGACTAATTCAGGCTTAATAGTCTACTAATATGCATATTAATTGGCAGCTAATGAATTTGTGTTCCCTAAACTAAAATGTTACCAGAACATATTTACGATTTAACTGTCTGCTCAGCTGCTGATTGTTACCTGTTTTATAAATTATCAGCAGCTCACAACCACCACTGTCTGGCTCTGTGCTGTCTGGCTCTGTGCTGCAAGAACGAAAGTGAAGAAAGAAGCATTTTGTCCTTTATTAGACGAGGTGTTATCAGATTATAGTTCCAGATTATTATTCTTCATCTCAGTGAGGTTTAAGCTTGAAAACTGAGTTGTTAATAAATTGTTAGCAGGTTAAGAAATAATCTTTTATGTTGTTTAAAATGATTTTTAAGCTGTTAACAATGTTTTAGCTTTAAGGCAACATTCAGATGTATTATTTATGTTTCTAATCACCATTATTTTTCATTCATAGAATAATTTTTGTATTTGATTAAGACTGATGCTTCTACATGTGTTTCTGTGAAAACTTTAAAAAACAAGCAGTCAGCTTTCATTTAGTTGTCTTTGGTGAGCCGTTGCATCATGTGTTTCTCAAAGTTCTCAAAAAATGAAAATGTTAAAATTCTGTGTAAAATAAATCAAAGGAAACACTGATCATTTCTGTAGCGTTTAAATAAAACAGCCACATCTGCTGCTTTAACGTCACAGAGAAACGCACCAGAATTCTGTTTTGTTGCCCAATTGTGTTGGAATCGTTTTACACCGTATTACTTTTCAAACCTGCCAAAGTCGTGTTCATTTTGTGTAAAACCAATGTGTCCATGTTTAGAACTTAGTAAATTTTGCTCAGTCCTTGACCTGCTTTAATCAAAAATACAAATTGTGCATGAATTCTCTGAAAACATTTTCCTATTTTAACACAACCACTACAAAAGAAAAGAAACTTCAGTCTCAACAAGAGTTTATCTGACTAACCTAATGGTACAATGGGGCTACGGTGGAAGAGGAGGTAAGTGCCCGCCCTACAACTGGAGGGTTGCAGGTTTGAGCCCCATCTGTTGCAGTCATTGTGTCTTTAAGTAAGACACTTACCCTGCCATGCTGCTGGTGGTGGTCAGAGGGACCGGTGGCACCAGTGTTCAGCAGCCTCGCCTCTGTCAGTGCGCCCCAGGGTAGTTGTTGCTATGATGTTGCTTATCACCACCAGGGTGTGAATATGTGTGTGCGTGCATGTGAGTGTGTGTGTGCGTGCGTGTTCATGATTGCGAGTTACAGCAAAATAGGAGCAAATAGAAGTGTGCTCCATAGTCATCAGGACTTCCCATAACATAGCTGATTTTGTATATACAGTGTGTGTTGGTGTGTGTGTGTGTGCGTGCGTGCATGTGTGTATGCATGCATTGTATCAGTGTGTATGTGTGCATGCATGTGTGTGTGTGCATGAATATGTGCATGTATGTGTGTGTATGCATGCATGTGTGTGTGTATGTATGTGTGCGTGCGTGCGTGTGTGTACTGTATGCATGCATGCATGTGTGTGTATGTGTGCATTCGTGCGTGCGTGTGTGTGGATGTGTGTGTGTGTGTTATACTTAGTGTGGGGAAACTGAATTTTAACAGAAACTTCACATTTGTATGCTCCAAAGTGCAGAATTGTTCACGTTACCACGAGTTCTTCATGTTGCTAAAGGTCAGGAAGTCCCAATTTACACATTAGTTGCTACAAGAAGCTTTCTGATGTGGTTCATGTCTAACGTTCCAAGCACACCACCAAGCTTCCTGCATCAAGAGGAAGTTACCTTTCTCTCTCCAACAATGGCTCGCGCTTTGGTGTAGTTCATCAGCTGTTTTCAAATACCAAGAGGACCCCGAACACCTCCCATCACACACAAAGACCCACTTCTGTAATCAGTCAGAAAATCCTCTTGAGTGCCAATGAGATGGCGTGCCCAACTCTTCTATGTGCTGTTTTTTTGCTTTATCAAACACAAGGTAAGATTATTGATTATTTCTAAAGGTTTTAGCATTTTTAAGTCAGTGATATTTGAGAACAAAAAGAAAATGTGTGAGAGAAAGTACGTAGATGTGTTTTAAAACATTTCTACACAAAAATTCCCAAACATTCCTGATTTCACTGTTAATGTTTTTATGGGTATAATGGTGAGTTGATGACAAAAACATGCCATTTGTTTAGATTTTAAATTGCAGTTAGCTTTTCTTCTAGTGCCACGTTCACAAACTAAAGAGATGATAATTATCAGAGATGTGACTAAAATGCCCATACTCAACCCTTCGATTTTTTAACTTAAATCTAACCACATAAGTGACTTCCTGGTTAAACGGCGCCTCAGTTACAGTTGTTCTTGGTGCTTAGACATCTACACTTCAAAGTCTTTTAGCTAGGCTGTTCTGCAGAAATCAGAAGTTATGTTCTTATTTAAACTGGGCTAATTTAAGTGTTTGTCTACAAAAATGATAATGTGAGTCTCTTATGCATTAGAGTAACTAAAGAGGAAGATGTTGTTTACTGATTAGAAATGCAACCGTTTACTTCATTGTTTTATATGGTTTTGTCAGAACTGGAATGCATTAATTCAGGTTTTGTGCCTGCTGTTTCCACAGGGTCCAGTGCTGGGACACCTGTGTTTGTGCCGACTGGAGGGGATTTGAACCTTGATGTGTCGGATGCTGATTTTCCTAAAACATTTGACTTGTTTTTCTGGAAATTTAAAACAGAAAATGTGATGGTAACATATCAGCCTAATGGAGAACCAAACATTCGTGAAGAATACAGAAGAAGAATTGAGGTTTCTGAGAAGAAATACTCTGTGAGATTAAAGCATCTGACAAAGGGAGACAGTGGAACCTATGTTGCACGAGTGACCGCGGGTAAAGACCGCATACTAGCTGAATATGATGTTACAGTTCAAGGTAAGAGTTTTGATTTACATGTCAGCTTAAAAGTTAGAGAAGGTCTAATTCCAACACATAATCTTTAGAACAATCCGAGGCTATCGTGTTTTTGGCTTTTGACCTTTTACTGTAATTCACATTCATGATAAATAAAAAAGCTGATATCAAGATGAACTGAAGTTGAGTGGAATTGTGACTTCGTTCAACCTTTTCTTCTATTGTTCAAAAATACGTCACATCAGCTCAGTGACCTAGTGGTAGAGTGTCCGCCCTGAGACTGGGAGATCAGGGTTCAATTCCTGGTCGGCTCATACCAAAGACTTAGAAAAAATGGGACCCAATGGCTCCCTGCTTGACACTCAGCATTAAGGGGTTGGATTGGGGGGTTAAACCACAAAATGGTTCCCGAGTGTGGCTGTGTCTGCAGCTCACCGCTCCCCCAGGGGATGGGTCAAATGCGGAGAACAAATTTCGCACACACATCAGTGAGTTTGACAACTAATGGGACTTTAACTTGAACTTTATCTCTCTTCTCTCCTCAGATCCAGTCTCTCCAGTTGATCTGATCAGTGACTCTGTGTCCAAGAACTCCACCTGTAACGTCACAGCAGCCTGCACAACGCCAGAGTCTAGCATCAGCAGCTCTTTCAGGTGTGATGCTAAAACCTGCTATCAGGAGGGAGGAAGGTCAGAGGTCAATACATCTGGGGGTTCCCTCCGCATCTATCTATTAGCTGAATCAATCATCTGTAACCATAGCAACCAGGTCAGCTGGCTGAAAAACGAGACAAACCTTCGATCTTTCTGCACCAAAATTGCTGGTGAGTGAACAGTCCTAGTGAATTCTAGAAGTGAAATATTTAGTTAAACCGTTGGTCTTCTGACAAATCCAGTCCATCCTTTATCAACGAACTGTGAGGATTTAAAGGTTGAATATGGAACAGTTATATAAAACGCTACATTTTTCTAAAATAATACCTCCACAGGACGTTTAGAGGAGTGCAGAATGAAGGTGCCGTATTTCCTTTAAAAGCTAGAGTTTAATTAAAAAAGATTATCAAATATTTATTTAGACGGCACAAGATTAGGTTTGTGTTTACATCTACCAGCCAACAGAGGGCACCAAACAGTCCGCTCTGCACAGTGGGGCTGGCTCTGGGGAAAATGGCGGACTCGACAAGTCGGGCAGCTGTATCTGAGCCCAGAAGATGTCGTTATCCTTCTCGGAAGCAGGGGCGGATTAAGATCTGGGGTTTAACACACACACACACACACACACACACACACACACACACACACACACACACACACACACACACACACACACGCACACACGCACGCGCACACACGCGCGCACACACACGTGACACGCACTAGTCAACATCGTATATATTTGTCTTGTACCACACAATTTTTAATCTGAAGCTACATATTAAGCATATTCAGGGCAGAAAATTGTAGTGTTTAGTGTGAGATGATAGTAAATATTCCCTTTCTTTCTCCAACAACTGATAATCAGCTAACTTTAGGCAAACCAGCAGCACAACAAATATTTTCAAATAAGACTCACAAGAAGAAGAAGAAGACGAAGAAGAAAATATCATTTCTATAGCGCCTCTCAAGATAAAAATCACAAGGCGCTTCACAAAAACAAAACAAAAAAATGTAAAAATATAAAAAAGCATTTAGAAAATGTTTAAAAATATATTTAAAATGAGCAAAAATAGGCAACTGGGATTTAAAAGAAAAAAATGTTAAGAAAGAGAGAGAGTGAATAGGAAAGAGGGAAATCAGTGGATCCTGAGGAAGGTGGAATAGGTGGGGAGAGCAGAATAAAGAGAGAGGGGTTGAAGAAGGTAATACAAAAGTCAGCTTGAACAAGTGAGTCTTCAGCTGCTTTTTTAAGGAGACCACTGAGTCCACTGATCTCAGGCTCAGGGGGAGAGAGTTCCAGAGTCTGGGGGCCACAGCAGCAAATGATCTGTCACCTTTGGTCTTTAGCCTGGTGCGCTGCACAACTAGTAGGCTTTGGTCACTGGACCTCAGGGACCTGCTGGGGGTGTAGGGACTAAGAAGATCACCAATGTAAGATGTGCTTGTCCATGTAAGGCCCTATAGACCAGAACCAGGATCTTGAAATTGGCTGAAGTTGACTGGCAGCCAGTGAAGCTGGAGGAGAAGCGGGGTGATGTGGGTGTATTTGGAGGACTTGGTCAGAAGCCGAGCACAGGCATTCTGAACCACCTGTAGACGGTTCAGGGAGGTTCTGCTCAGACACGTGAAAAGAGAGTTACAGTAGTCTAAGCGTGAGGAGATGAAGGAGTGGATAACTGTCTCAAGTTCAGAGCGAGACAGAATGGGACTCAGCTTAGCAATGTTCCTGAGATGGAAGAAGGAAGAGCGAACAAGAGAACTGACATGAGAATCCAGGGTGAGAGCTGGGTCAAAGGTCACGCCAAGATTCCTGACAGAAGGATTGGTGTGGGAAGCAAGCAGACCAAGAGAGTCTCTGGCTTTGGGAACCCGCTTGTCTGGGGCACAGATGAGGATCTCAGTCTTCATTCAGCCAAAGAAAGCTCCCAGCCATCCAGGTTTTGATAGAGTCTAAGCAGGTGTGTAACAGCTGCAGCTTAGACATCTCATGAGGCTTAAAGGAGATGTACAGTTGGATGTCATCTGCGTAAAGATGGTAGGAGATTCCTTTGAGGGAGCTCAGGATGTGCTGAAGAGGAAGCAGATAGAGGAGGAAGAGCAGAGGCCCCAGCACAGAACCTTGTGGGACACCATGGGTAAGAGAGGTGGTGGAGGACCTAAACTTGGAGACGGCCACAGAAAAGGAGCGCTCAGAGAGATAAGAGGAGAACCACTCCAGAGCAGATCCTGATAGGTCTACCCAGTCTCTCAGCCTCTCCAGTAGCAGGTGATGGTCAACAGTGTCAAAGGCTGCAGTCAGGTCCAGCAGGACCAGAACAGAACAGTCCCCTGCATCACTGTGAGTCAGAAGGTCATTAGAGACCCTAAGAAGAGCTGTTTCAGTAGAATGAGCACTACAAAAACCTGACTGGAAGCAATCATAGATGTTATGTTGATCAAGATCAGCTGTGAGTTGTTGAGCCACAACCTTTTCCAAGATCTTGGAGATGAACGGAAGTTTAGAGATGGGTCTGAAGCTGCTATGGAGAGAGGGGTCGAGACTCGGTTTTTAAGAAGCGGGTGGATTACAGCGTTATTAAAGTAAGCAGGGACCTGACCAGAAACCAGAGAAGCATTAATTATAGAGAGCACGCTGGGACCGATGGACTGAAAAGCACTTTTAAACAAAGATGAGGGTAAGATGTGGAGAGGGCATGCAGAGGTCTTCATAGAGTTAACTAGTTTGGTAAACTCAGGCAAAGAAACAGGAGCAAAGCTATCTAGGATGATGGGCCTGGTTGGAGTCGGGAGAGGCAGCGATAAGGCTGAAGGAGAGATGCTAGATCTAACCTTATTGACTTTGTCCACAAAGAAAGAAAGTTCTCACAGTCTGCAACAGAGTGGATGGAGGCTGTAGGAGAGGCAGGAGACACGATGCTGCTGATGGTGTTAAACAGCACCTTGGGGTTCCCTTTGCTCTGGGACACCAAGTTGGAGAAACAGGATACCCTGGCGTCTCTGACTGCAGAGTTAAAGGATATCAGAAGATCTTTTAGGTGCAGCAGATGGACGTGGAGATGGGTTATCTTCCACCAACGCTCAATTTTTCTGCATTGGCGCTTTAGGCTGCGAAGGCTGTCATCAAACCAGGGAGTAGGGTTCACTGCAGGAACTGATCTGGTTCTGACAGGACAGATGTTGTCCAGAATGGAGAGGCAGTGCTCGTTAAACTGAGAAGTTAAAGGAATCTGGGTCGTTATCAGAAGAACAGGGTGGATCAAAAGCAGCAGAAAAATTGCTAGCTGTGCTCTCATTAAGAAAACGAGAACTAACCATACGGCGAGCAGGAGGTGGGGATGCAGAAACTGACAAGTTAAAGAAAATGCAATGGTGATCTGAAATATAAACAACCTCAGGATAAACACTGTCAGCATTTAGACCCAGGGTTAAATCAAGGTCTAGAGTGTGCCCCCTGGCATGTGTGGGGCCAGAAACATGCTGTCCATAAGACTGGAGAAATTCATGGCAAAGAGATCGGAGGGATCATCACTGTGGATGTTAAAATCACCAACAATCACCAGTCTGGACAGCTTCACAGTGGAGGATAGAAAGTCACTAAACTCCTGAAGGAAAGAACTGTTTGGACCAGGTGGACGATAAACCACAGCACAGTAGAACGGGTTCTTACGCCCGACTTTAATTAGCTGCAGTTCAAAGGAAGCAAAGTGACCAGAGGTTGTAGAGCTACATGGAAGATGGTCTCTGAAAACAACAGCTAGGCCTCCACCACAACCAGAACCCCGAGGCTGGCTAAGAAAAGAATAACCACTCGGGCAGAGTTCAATCAGACCAGAATAATCAGATGTTTGCTGCCAAACTTCAGTCAGAAACAGAAAATCCAGGTTTTTAGAGAGAATTAGATCATTGAGCAGGAAAGTTTTATTGTTAACAGAGCGGGTATTTAATAGAGCCATGCTGAGTGAGGAGGAGGAATCAGAAACTACAGAAACAACTGGAGTTAGTGGACGTAAATTAGCAGGGTTAGATCCACGGTGTTTATAAAAACCACTTATGGTGGGAACAGGAGGAGAAACCACTGAGAAATGAGGATAAACCGACCTTAAAAAACTTGCACGGATGAACCGCGTCCCAACACGGCCTGGCGGGAAAGCGGAAGTGGCGCTCAGGTCACCAAACAAAGGACAAGAAGCTAGAAGATCGCGCCAATGTTTACTAGATGAACCACACTTTAAGAGAAGTCTTATTCTCACCTGGATTCCTGCTTGTTTACTTCTTTTCCTCCGATGTTTTCCCGGGACCGGACAAACATAGCCGGAGGCGGAAAGCTCGGGACCGTCGATTGGTTCCGGGCCAGTGCGTCACTCAGGTAAACAAACAGGATGGTACGTCCTCGGTGCATCTTGGGCGATCGTGAACGAATGGAAGGACAAAAGAGTCTGGCGATCATAGGAGATGGTAGCAGGGACACTACTGAAGAGAATCGCAGACAGGAGCAAGGTGGAAAAGAGGAGGTTAGTGGAGAAAAGTTTGAAAAAGTGGCCGGTGACTGCGGCTAAGCCAAGCACAGGCGCCATCTTGTTGCCTACCGGAAGCGGAAGTGAAACAAACCTGAGTCAACACCAGTCTCATCAAAGCTGGGGCTCTGTCATTGCACTTTTTGTCTAAAAACGTCCTTATGTCCATCTTCACACATGCGTTTCAGGCAGAGAGTGTAGAAGAAGCTGGCTGCTGAAGGGCTTCTTCTTCGGTGGTGGAGGTTCAGGCAGGCTGTATACAAACTACTGCCAGCTGCTCCCTCTTAATTGGACTTTGGTACTGCACGTTACTTCCACGTTTTAGATCCGGGGCTTTTCGTAAAAGATTCGGGGCTTGAGCCCAAGTAGCCGGGCCTAACCCCGCCCCTGCTCAGAAGAGGAGTGACCATAAAAGATCTAAAACCAGACTGAGTTTAGGTGAAGCACCGAAACAAAACGTTGCAGGTAAATAAAACCTTTCTGTGTTTTAAAAAGAATTAAAAGATGGAATTAGAATTTCAACACAGCAAGAACACACCAAAGATATTCTGGGTGTCTTATTGGCAAAAGAGAGGTAAGACACGTAATACCACTAATAAGGTTTACTACACGCGTGGATATGTTGCTCTGTACAGATTTAGTAGTCACAAATATTTAATACAGTGACACTTTAGAGGGCAGCTAATAACAATTATTTCTAACCTTTTATCTAGAATACAAAATAAATCGTATCTGGTTTTTAGTCATTACAAACATTTGTGTAAATGGGTCAGAAAAAGGTAGAATGCCTTCTCCAGGTGAGGGATGAGGTCCTGCCCTAAGTGTAGAAGTTTAAATATCTCAAGGTCTTGTTCATGAGTGAGGGAAAGATGGAGCATGAGATCAATAGGAGGGTTGGTGTTGCGTCTGCAGTTATGCGGCCGTTGTACCGATCTGTCGTGGTGAAGAGAGAGCTCTATGAAAACATAGAAGTTTACTGTCGGGAAAGACTGGGTAAGATGTAAAGACATAATGATGTTCTCGCAGCTTAACTATGATTAAAGGATCAGCTTTGGGTTGAAAATGCAAAAAAGCAAAAATGAACCTTGACATATTTAAATTTTAAAGAAGCCCAAACCATTGTCTCCCCATCAACCTTCATTATCTCCACTAGCAACACCCCAAGGTGTTGACTCTGCCATGTCTGGGTAGTGTCCCATCATCAGCAGCAGCTCCCTGTGACTGGTAGGGCACTACCAAAAACACATTATCCAGGTTGTCCATGTGGCCTTTTAGCCAAATGCCCAAACCATCTCAGCTGAATCCTTCTGCTCTACTCTGAGTCTTTGAAGGAATTATAAGAAAATAGACTGCATCAATTCTTACTAGTTTTCTGACTTCGGACATTCATCTACTCCATACACATCAAATGTTGAACCTTTAAAAACAGGAAAATTCAAAAGTTGATTTCTGTACTTTAGGATATTTGGTAGTTTTTCATGTTGCAGCAGAATGGTGGTGGGGCAGATTGACCCTGCGGATTAAAATATACAAACCTTCTATTACTGATTTGTCTCTAACATGAACATTTTCTACTTGCAGATGTTTCTGGTGTCTCCATCTGCCAGGTGAAGACATTCCTGTTCTCCATCGGTCTGATCATCATGGTGTCTGCTGTCATTACCGTTCACCTTTTGGAGAAGCTCAAGAAGCAATAAACGCTTATTTACTGATCAGACATGTACAAACTGTAGCTCACTGTAAACTCATGAATCCCCTGAGAGCAAATCAATATCAGCTTTTAATGACTTAAATTCTTAGAAAATGTTTCAATATTTTTAAAGCAAAAACAACAAAAGTTCTTATGTGCTTGATAAACAAAAACCCTGAGCTTATTAATAAAATGCTGTTTATTTTCTCATTATTTGATCATGAATGAATGACTTTACTGTGAATATACAGTGAAGTGGTACAATGATTAACTCTAGAGGTGGATGAAACTGTTCATGAGAACATGGACATGGGACAAAAATAAATGAGTTTAATGCAACACCAGATCCTTGTGTTCTGCATGATTGTGGCGCCGAGGCACTTGCCAGAATGACCCTCATGCGCTCCGGAGGAAAAGTAATACTGAGGAGGCCGTTGTCCAGTGCAGACCCAAGTGTATTTTATTTACATTGTACAAAATTAAAATCTAGGCAGCACAAATCCATGCCTGCCACTTCATCCAACACTCAACCCTCCGACTCAACTCCAACAAACACAGAACTGTATTTATAACAGGTGTGCCTAATTGGATTAATCCTAAAACTCAGACACAGGTAAATACAAAAAATACAATCTTTCAATACTCTTAAATTATACTTAAATCATCATCTCTAAGATCTCCTTAAATAATTACAATACAAAAATAGAAACATCCTTAATCAATCCTAAAAACATTCAGTGAAACTAATCTGCATTCCTGGAGCAATTTCACAGGTCACCCCTCCCATTCCTACTGAATGGAATGCTCCAGAACCTTCTTTAGGTGCTCCAGCTCCCCTGGGAATCTTTTAGCTGGAACACGTCCAGACAGAAGCACAAGGGAAACTGGTAAGTACAAACATTCAATCATTTATTTACCACTTTAAATCCTCTATATTCACACCAACTCTTCTTACAGGTCCAAATGCTTCACCCCTTTCAAATAAACATTCAAGCAATCATTGAGCCTGGTTTCATTTATCCTTCAATCATAGAAAAATCCTGTGTAATGGACTTGCTACATTACAATAATGTCTCAGTTTGCACCACTGAGCAGGTCTGGGACCTCTGATGGTTGGTGCCAGCAGAATGAGCAATCATGACCATGTTGAAAAGAGTTTTTGTGGGAAAATTTACCTAACGGAAGAGCTGAAAATGTGCAGGATTTGGAACAATGAGCTCAGGAGGAGCAGAGACTGAACTTTTAGGGGTGATGGTTTGTTTTTGCAGTAAATCTGAAAGGCTTAAGCAGCAGCAGCAGAACAACAAACATAAGACCAAACCAGGAAATGTATTGTGGATTTTACAGAATGGCCCAACTGTCAGGGAGCCTGAAATGTTTGTGCCATAGTGTGCTACCATTCTGGATGGTTGGATGCCTCTGCGTGTGTTGAAATGATATCCATCAGTGTCCAAATGGATCCTGGAAGAAGTAACTCTAAGATGTTGGATATTCAGGATCTATGCAATGCAAAATCTACCTTTTTGAGCTTTTGACCTTGTTATGTTATTTCTTCACCAAAACACTCCCAAAGGGGGTCTGGCTTCACACATGCGACCTCCTGCTGTAGACCCTCTGCTGGTCTACTGAGCTGTTACAAACAGCTGGATTAAACAGGTTTGTGTCATCCTGTCCTGCTCCACCCCATCCAGGTAGTATATAACCTGCATGCTCCTCCCCATCCAGGTAGTATATAACCTGCATGCTCCTCCCCATCCAGGTAGTATATAACCTGCATGCTCCTTCCCATCCAGGTATTATATAACCTGCATGCTCCTCCCCATCCAGGTAGTATCTATCATGCATGCTCCTCCCCATCCAGGTAGTATCTAACATGCATGCTCCTCCCCATCCAGGTAGTATCTAACATGCATGCTCCTCCCCATCCAGGTAGTATCTAACATGCATGCTCCTCCCCATCCAGGTAGTATCTAACCTGCATGCTCCTCCCCATCCAGTTAGTATCAAACCTGCATGCTCCTCCCCATCCAGGTAGTATCTAACATGCATGCTCCTCCCCATCCAGGTAGTATCTAACATGCATGCTCCTCCCCATCCAGGTAGTATCTAACATGCATGCTCCTCCCCATCCAGGTAGTATCTAACCTGCATGCTCCTCCCCATCCAGTTAGTATCAAACCCGCATGCTCCTCCCCATCCAGGTAGTATCAAACCTGCATGCTCCTCCCCATCCAGGTAGTATCAAACCTGCATGCTCCTCCCCATCCAGTGAGTATTTAACATGCATGCTCCTCCCCATCCAGGTATTATATAACCTGCATGCTCCTCCCCATCCAGGAAGTATCTAACATGCATGCTCCTCCCCATCCAGGAAGTATCTAACCTGCATGCTCCTCCCCTGTACTGTAAACACTAACTCCCCCTCTCTCTGAGTTACAAGCAGCAAGCAGGGGATTATTCTACGTGGATGAAACGCCCATCGGAACTTCCAGCGTTTGCGGTTCCTACCGACCCTCTGCGGCTTGTCTCTGCTGTGAGCCGATATTCTCCTAGACTGTAGGGCGCGGCATGAGGCTCTACGGCATGCATACAGCACTACACCATAGAAGTAGAAATAGCTGTTTACAACATTTTTTCATTGTGTCCTTGTCTTTTCCGACTGTGACAGCAATTTTTAACATTATTTTGATCACGGTGATCTTTATGGACCGAATTATAAAGATGTCTGTGTGGCAAGGTGGAGTAACGAGGGCCCGGGCGGGATTCGATCCCCAGACTCCCGGGTGAGAGTCATGCGTGCTTACCAGTCAGCCAAAGGGACATTCCCTTGGCCAAGTAGCCAGGGCGCCTGATCAATCGGGACACTGACAGGACGCTCACCCTGTCACATCTGCACTTACGAGCCTTCGTCACTACTAGCGCTTTCCAGTCAGCCATGTTTTTCCGCACAGGACCATCCACATGGTTAGGAAATTTTCTAGGTGCGTGGTGCGGAAACTTTGGGTCGCGCGGAGGCTACTCGGAGGGGTGCATTTGCTAAAATTACGTAATATGGCCGCGCAGATCTCGTATCTTGACTCGTCCTCAGTGTAGAATAGAGAGAGGGCGAGTCTGCTAGGCCAGGCTAGAGTCTGGAGATGTGCACCTTCATTCTCAACATTATAGATGCAGCAGGATCAGAAAAAATGTCTGTTTATATGTGATTCGCATAACAGTGGTTGGAAATAATAGACATAGATTTGTTATATCAGTTAACCAGTCCTTAAGTTTAGGGAGAAAATACTTTTCCCTGTGGGGCCAGAATGATTTTTAACATTTCTTTTCATTTAATAGATCTTTAGAAAATAGCTTTTTGTCAGATTATCTTTGTCTGTTGATAAAACATTTTAGAGCAAAAACAGAAAATCTGCAGGAGGTTAACACTTTATTTAGATAACTGAATACCTGAGGCTCCATCCAATAGTAGTGTTGTAGTAATGTTTGTAAAACACTTCTTGACAAAGAAAAGTTGATCAGTTGAAACATTAGAGCTTAGTTACGCATCACTGGTCGAACACGTCTGTCACAACAGAAAATTGTTTTGTTACGTTTCTATTCTGAAACTCATTTGTTGCACATTTTTGAGCCCTCAGGTGCTGTAGCCATGTTTGATGCTTGTTGTCCTGTTCTCATGGCCAGCTCTTCCAGTTGGTCATTTTTCCCACAATTCTCTGTTTCATCATGGTCATGATTATTCATTCAGGTGCCACCAATCATCCGCTTCCAGACCTGCTCAGTGATGAGACGTCCACATGCAGAACAGGAACTGCAGTAAACTCATCCCTCCTTGGCTTCATGTCATCCAAGAGTCAACCATGAGGATCAAATTAATAAAATCTTAAGGTTAAAGGTCAGGCTAAAGGTTTGTATCATTATCCACATAAAAACAAGAATAATGAGAATTTGTTTTATACATGTAAAGAAATCTCAAGTATTTTTTCTTTAAAATACAGAAATATTAAAATGCTGTTATTACGTTTTCATCATTTCCCTCTCAGGGGTGTTGCCACGGTTACGAGTTCATAATGAGCGTTAGTTTGTACATGTCTGATCAGTAAATAAGTGTTTATTGTTTCTTGAGCTTCTGTATGAGGTGAACGGTGATGACAGCAGACACCACGATGATCAGACCGATGGAGAACCGGAATGTCTTCACCTGGCAGATGGAGACACCAGAAACATCTGCAACTAGAAACATGTTTTAACTAGTTACTAAACAGACACGTTTAAACACAGATAACACGTCAGACTTCGTGGCTAATCGTTAAGCTCCTTCAGTTACTTTTCTTGACGCATGAATAATTCCTCCATGAAATCTGTTTTTATTACTCTGAGACTCACCTCTGAACTGGAAACAAAAAGCTTCTGCGATTCTTGCATTCTCCATCCAGCTGATGTGGTTGCTATGGTTACATATGATTGACGAATTTGAAAGAGGAACGAGGAGAGAAGCCCCAGATTTAGTGACCTCTGCTCTCTCTCCTCCCACCTGATCACAGGTTTTGGTGTCACACCTGACAGAGCGGCTGACCTGAGTGTCTCCGGCGCCGCGGGTCACAGAGAGTTCACAAGAGCAGGAGGTTTGAGACACGGAGAAAATGGTGAAATCAACTGAAGAGAGTGGATTTAGTGAGAGCAGGAATAAGAAATGTTAGAAGCAGAACAGAAATGATGGGTTTCCCATGTCCTGTTCAGGGTTGTCTTGAGGAAACGAGAGCGAAGGCTCAGCTTTTTATTTTCTGGATGAAATTGATGACCCCTTGGAGCGCCATCTGGTGCCACTTTGAAGCAGGAAAACCACACAGGGACAGTATGTACGAGCTATATCTGTTGAACACTGAAAAGGCCACCAATAGTTTCTGAGGGACTTTGTTTCCTCTGAGGATCTCCAGTTCTTTGCTGGACTTTCCTAACCTGCTCAGTTTTGTCTGTACCCACAGTTTAGGTCCTCCATCTTGTGGACTCCTCAAACAAATGTGCATGACCCTCTTCGTATAAAAATGGGCTGAATATCTGTCTCTTCCTGCTCTCCTGGTGGTCTTTGATCCTTGTCCTATAGTCCAGCTTCCCTTATCTCTCTTAACCTCTCGTCAGATCATTCCAGGCCTGTCTTCAACCTCGTCACCAGACCTAAAACGATGTTCCTCTGCTTTAGCAGCAGCTGGACCACACTGGTCATTCAGATCTGACCGTGTCCGTGGCTTTGATGTAAGCCAGTGAACTCCTTCAGGTTAGAGCGCTCAAAGATTCCCCAGTTATCTCCGAGACTTTATTGGGTGAGGCAATAAGAGATGGAGGAGGTTTT